GACGGACGGACGGACGGACAGACAGATGAACAAATGGACGGATGAACAGACAGACAGACAGATGGACTGACGGACAGAGAGAACAACAAATGGACAGATGAACAGACACAGACAGACAGACAGATAGATAGATAGATAGATAGATAGATAGATAGATAGATAGATAGATAGATAGATAGATAACTGCCACCTCTCTTTTGGTGGCAGGGTGGTGCTAGTGTTTGTGTCTCTGTGTGTGTATGACTCAGAGTCAACTTTGCTAACAAAGACGAAACTGTCGTCTCCGCCTGATACACAAACAGTTCAACCGCAGTCCCGCAACTCACTCATGTGTGACAATGATTCGTGGACGAGTCCCAAAAGTACCTACAACACAAAGATGAGTCTGCGATACAGTGATGATGTCAGAAAAACAGTGATGTGGCCAGGATGTTCAGAAGAGATTTGATCATGAAAAGGGAAAACATCTCTACTGTACTGAGTGAAGTGTGTCAGTCTGCTGAAATATGCGGGCGTGTTACTGCATGATTCCTGCTGATAACAGATAATCACATCAACAACTGCAGGCAATGTGGCATATTTTCAGCCGAACGTATTTCTCCACCTGATCCGTCTGAATTGCACTGGGTGATATACTATATGCGATATGTGTTATGTGAAAGCAGTGCTTGAGGAGGGGACTTGCATATTTGTATTGCTAAGTCTAAAGTTAATTGAAACAGCAGTCACGTTTTGCTGATTATCCACAAACTTCCCACAGATTGCTTCAAAAGTAAACTTGCCTCAACACACCTGCCTTTAAGTTTCTAATATGCCTAGTAAGAGCTTGATTAGCTGGTTCAGGTGTGTTTAATTGGGGTTGGAGCTAAACTCTTTAGGACACCGGCCCCCCAGGACCGAGTTTGGGCACCCCTGGTGTAACCTAACCTCATAGGAACATGTAAACTAGGGATGGGCGTATCGATCCGAAGTATCGATATATCGATACTGACGCGAGTATCGAAAGTATCGATATTCAAACAAAAAATATCGATACTAAGGTGTGTTTTATTTACCAGTGATTTTGTTTATTTAACAAAAACATAATAATGCGTACAATATGCATTGAATTGGACGATAACCTTTGTTAGCGAGTAATTGTGTAGGATAGAACTATTTTCCTGCTCATCTGAACACACGCAAATGTTGCAAGACAGAACTAATCAATCACAGAGAGCGTTCACTCACTGCTGACAGTGCATTCAAACGGCTGCGTTTCCCAAAAGTATCATAAGAAAGCATTAAAGCTTTTGGGAACGGCAGCCCTGAACAATGCTTATTATCAGAGGACAGAAGGACAGAGTTATTTCACAATAAACAAACTGAAATTGTAGCCTACGTAGTTTGTGCAATTACAGTTATTTAAATTGAACGTTGAAAGATAATATTGATCATGTTCTATTCTGTAATGTTAATAGAAATCATACAGAATAAAAATGTTGCATTTTATGCATGTAACAGCCGGTCACTGGCAGTCCCTTACGAAAATGAACCATGGTTTTACTAAAGTGACCGTAGTTCAACTGTAGTATTTATAGATTTGAATCATGTGTAAACAAAAATATAAGCTAATAAGTTACAATTAAGGCGTATTAAATGTTAAAATGCATTTTAAACAAAGTTAAGTGCTTATCATTAGCCATTTTACTCTTAGTCATTTAATAATTTAATACATTTCATAATTTAAAAGTTTAGTTCAGAAGTATCGAATCGGTATCAATATTGACGATACTGCCTTGAAAAATATCGGTATCGTATCGAAAACTAAATAAGTGGTATCGCCCATCCCTAATGTAAACAGAAAGTAACGGCTAATGCTGCTATCAGTGACTCAGGATTCAAACGTAAACACAAGTCCATTGAATCCTGGATCTGAAGTTTGCTGATCCGCTGGGAAACCAAATATGAGAACTGGTCTAGGATCAGCTACCGTACCATATTATTAATTAATCAAGTCAGTTTAACAATGCGAACTTGTTCCTGGATCAGTACACGTTCTAAGGGTGCTTTCACACTTGGTTCGATTGCTTGGTCCGAACCCGAGTTCGATTGCCCCCCCCTCCCCCTGCCCCCGCTGGACAGTGTTCACATTATATTATTTGGGTCCGAACCGCGTCATCAAGCCAGCAGCTGTTTACCCCGTTGCTGAGTAACGATGGTGCAGGAGAAGACGGCAAAATGCGTAGCAAGGCTCTCTTCAATTTTATATTTATGTTTTTGAACCGTTGGTTTTGTTTCCAAAGCTTCAGTACATAACGGCACTTACGTCTGCCTTACGAATGTACTGCAAATGCTCTAAAGTACTCTGAAGGTGAACAGAAATGAGATATACAGCTCTCTGCTTGCAGCGCGTCAGTCACGTTCGTCAAGAAAGTGAGTGAAACACACACAAACACACATTTTTTATCAAATAATACGTCATTAATAGCGGTTCACTTCCGTGATTTGGTATGATTGCGTTCACATCAGCAGCGAACCGTACTGGAGTTCACTTAAACCGTACCCCAGACCACCCTTTTTAAGTGGACTCGGGTACGGTTCGGGTGCGCACCAAAAGTGCTAGTGTGAAAGCAACTTTAGGCTGTTTTCACATATAGTTCGTTTTAAAAGAACCAAACCCAGTTCCCTTAAAGTGAACCAGAAAGGGAACCAGCCGAAAGTGACCTCAGTCCTTTTGGTGTTCACAATAGTAACAATAATCTAGTGGACTCAAAAGAGAACCCAGTTCTTTTTTTGGTCCTCTTCAGCAATGAAGAGATCTCAGACCCTTTCTTGTTCACACCACAACTTTATAAGAACTCAGACCCCAGCTTTCTGTGCAGCAGTGGATTGTGGGTATTCAAGATGGCGTCTTCACATGTTGTCATCACATGGATGTGGCACATTTTGAAGCAAATGACAAACAGAGAAAGAATCAGACAAAGCAGAACTAAAGGAAAGCATCTGAAAATTGTAGCAGTTTTTTCTGTTATATCCCCTTTCGTTAATTTTTTGGGCAAACAAAAGAAACACTTTTATGTTTTTATGGGTTGAGGAGAGTTGGCGTTTAATGTAATCATCTTTCCAAATTTCAATAAGTGCACAACTCTCCTCCTGGGACCACACAACCCCACGACCTGCCATGGTGAAAAGTTTTTTCTGTTGTTACAGCAGTGACATAACATGGCTGCAGGTATGGCAAGCCTCCAGGTACACATGTCGAAACTAAACGCAAAGTGGACCGGGATCTCATTGCTTTCGCATATCACGAAGATATCAAACCACAAACGAACCGTACTCAGGAGGTGGTCTGAGTACAGTTCGTTTGTGGGTCCTTTTGGGGGGGTCTGAGATCACATGGTTTGTTCACATACACACGCTGAACCACTCCGAGAGCGTTTGAAAGGGTTAAATGAACTAGGTGTGAAAACACCCTTAGAGACCAGAGTATACCACCTCTGTTTACTTCTGCATCGTCTGACACAGATTTACAGTATTGTCTCAAACTGGCGTCAGGAGAGATACGCTAGTCCTTCATTAGCACGAAAGGCCAACTTTTACCCAGAGTCTGAACAGCAGGTTTGAAACTTTCAATGTGGCTCAGTTTATAATTAGATGCATCTGCTGAAACATTGGATCTGTTTAGGAGTGTGTGAATGGCTTGGACCCAAACCATCTCAGAAGTCTTTCACATCGCATGGCCAGTAATTTCTGGTTAGCAGAGAATTATAGGTATTTCATATTGTGGTGGACCTTGACGATTTACTCAAGGTCTCTGCTAAGTGAAAGTTTTTTATGGTGTGTTTCAGGCAATTGGAGCGAGATGGAGAGCAGGTATGGAAGTGTACAACTGAGTCAACAAGAACAAGCCACAAATAATTGCAAAGACTTCCAGAATTAAACAAAAATGTGGTAAATATCCAGAGATTGAAGTCGTATGTACAGATCTGATGCACTGACCTCATCGGTCTTTCCATCACTATTTCTAATTATAAACTTCATAGCCGCTATAACTCTAACAAACACTAACGGCAGAAATGCAAAGCAGTCTTTACTACTGAAATGGTACAAAGACCGAGACACAGAATAAATCAAATTACACATAGAAAGACTTTAAGTGCTAAGCACGAATTTGAACTTTCAAATTTAAATGACCAACCACAATATGTCCAACCTACACACAGTAATTTGCTTATGCAAATAAACCTTGGTCTCTTCAGTAGAATAATAAACTGGGAGTTAAAATTTTCCATTGCTGCAATGTATCTTAATGTAAAAATATAGAACTGGCCTATTATTATTGCTTTTAGAAATTTAGGCCTACTGGTATGTTTAATCACCAAAACGTACAAAAGCTGGTTTACAAAATACAATAATAATAACTGATATTAAATATATCGGTCATCTATTTGTTTTGAGATATGAACAGTTTGGCAGAAGTTTCAAAACCTTTCCCAGTTTCGATCATGCTTAGGGAGGAATTAATAAACACTGAGTTTCTGTATTTGGTTAGGGATGTTGCCTTTACAAACATTTACCATAGTTTCTGGCAAGAGTTACTATTATTTTTACGGTCACACTTTAATTTAAGGTCCAATTCTCACTATTAACAAACAATAAACTACGACTTTTGCCTCAATAAAAAATGTGATGCTTATGAATAGTTAGTAAGGTAGTTGTTAAGTTTAGGTATTGGGAAAGATTAGGGATGTAGAATATGGTCATGCAGAATATGTGCTTTATAAGTACTAATAAACAGACAATATGTTAATAATAGGCATGCTCTTAAGCAACTAGTTAATAGTGAGAGTTGGTCCCTATACTAAAGTGTTACAATTTTTACAATAAAACTGTGGTCATCAGTCATAATTTATCAACATATTAATATAAATAATAATAGTGATATATAATAAATATGTCTTTATTTTAATGTCTTTATTTCCTATTGTGTTAAAGGAGCAACAAGTCAATTGAGTTCCTACCTCTGATCCAGTCCACAACCTGAGTCGGTGTCCACTTTGTTATCGGCTCCATTCTTCTGTTCAGAAAGTTTCGGCCAAGTTCTCAAACTCACTAAAGTTAAATAAAGTTTCCTGCTCTACACTCGAGCGAGCGTCCTTTCTCATGTCTAACCACTAAACACTAATGATCAGATCACAGGAACCGTGCGAGCTCTACACACAGACCGACACTAGAGAGAGAGAGAGAGAGAGAGAGAGAGGGAGAGAGGGAGAGAGGGAGAGAGGGAGAGGGAGAGAGAGATAGAGGGAGAGGGAGAGAGAGAGAGAGACAGGGAGGGGGGGAGAGATAGAGGGAGAGGGAGAGAGAGAGAGAAAGAGAGGGAGAGGGAGAGAGAGAGAGCGAGCACATGACATATTCCCAAACATGAGGATACATTAGAAGTATGCTATTTCTCAAAACACGCTATTTAAGCTTTATATAGGCTACTTTTAGAGTTTACTGTAAGTACAAATACAGTGACATAGTAATATTATGAATATTTTAATATATTTTCAAATATACTTCATTCCTGTAATGGCAAACATTCATTACTCAGTCTCTCTCTCTCTCCCTCTCTATGTAAAAGTCTTTACTGTTACTTAGTGCGATTTTAATTCATCCTTGCTGAATAAATATTAATTTCTATATTTAAAAAAAAATCTTACTGTCACAAAACGTTCATACAGTGTTTATCGTACATGACATTGATGATATCTGATGCTATCGGTACTGAATGATTACAATGATTGCCGACAGTCTCCATAAAATGTATAACATTAATAAAAAGGGCTAAAATATATAACGGCACATTAAAAATACATTACTTATAAGTTATTTTACTATACAGTAAAAAATATAATGATCAATTATAAAACGATACAATAATAAACAATATGATATATATATATATAAAACGTAAAATAGAAATGAGCCAAGGCCACAAATATACGTATTTTGTTGACGTCTACATAATTTTTTGTTCTTATTAGTTTGTTTGTTTATCACAGCATCTGGAATTTCTGACTTTGTTCTGTTTTCTAACACGCACTGCCCTCTACAGGCCAATCATTTCATTTTATTTTAAATTTTTTTTGCTTAATGTACATAACAAGACAGGGAACAACCAGCAATGTAAGACACTTCCATTGAGACAAACACAGAGTTTACATTAAAGAAGAAGAAAAAAAAGATATATATAGATATATATATATATATATATATATATATATATATATATATATATATATATATATATATATATATATATAT